AAAAAAAGACCTAAGTAAAAAAATGAGACCACAACACATCTGCTGACGCGTGGGTTTTCGAAACTTTGTAAAAAAATACATCCAGTAAACTTTTTTCCGTAAGAACAGACTAAGAACGATATTATTTTCAGGAATACTGCGCAGCAAAAGTAATATTGTTATTCTTGCGAGCACCTCATCAAGATTTGACGTCCCAAGCACGAGCACGTTGGAGAAACGCCTGATCCGATCTAGCTGGGTCAAAAGAGCATTTACAACTCGTATCGAATCCATAGGCTCGTTTCTGTTCATAGACCCTTTTCGCGTCATACCAAGGCTTTCAACCTAAACAACAAAATTTTATAAACTTCAAAAATGTAAGCGCAGTGACATATCTACGAATAAAAACTGCAGCAATCTCAAAGAAAAACTCATCTACAGCGTATGCTTGCCCGTTTCTGCTTTACTTTTCTTACTGAAAAAGTAAATTAATTCTCAAAATACCATTAAAAAATAGATGCACTTATAGACACTGACTCAACATTTAAAAAGTGCCACCTACTTAGTTGATAGAATAGGATGGTTATTGCAACACGTATTACCTTCTAGTATGAAAAAAAAACCGAAAAAATAAAATAAGAAATTGAAAATTTCCGCTACTACTAACCTCGTCGATTAAAACAACGATGAAAGAATTCCCATCTTCTGCTAATTCTTCTATTTGACCGAACATTTTTAAAACCAACTTACCGCTCTAAAAAAAATGAATAATATTCTGTTGCCGTGACAGGCATACCGTGCATTAACATTACTAACCACTCCTAATATTAGAAAGTAGACGTTACTAATAAATCATAAATGAATAAGAAAACAACAAATCTGAAAAAAACCTCAGAAAACCATTTTGAGAAAAGGCTGTGGCTATTTATTTCAACAAAAACTGATCTTTTATATCGGAGGTTCAATGCAATAGCTAATTTTTGAGCAAGACCTTTGCATAAAGAAGTTTTTCCAGTTCCAGGAGAACCTAAAAAACCATTTCTAGCGTACCAATAAAATTCACAGCTATTGTACGGCTCACCCCCACATAATCTGTCTAGACGATCAAGATTAAAAAATTAACTGTTAGTTTTGATATCCGCTTGCAAATCTAACAAGCGAAAAACTTCCAGCAAATTCAAAGTTCAGCTTCTCCTCTCATGAAAAAATTGCTCAAAAGGAATATTATTAATATTACCACTTAAAGCAGTCTAAAAATTTGAAAAAATGAAACATGGAGTCAAAAATATAAAGTTTACCAAACAACAACACAAATCGATTGATTCTTAAGATTGACGGATTTGCTCTCAAATCCGAAATATGTAATAATGCTCCAACATACGATAATAACTGAAAATGGTAATCTTCAATCATCACTGCAATGAAATGCCTCTCCCTGAACTGGTTTTTAACTTACGTCATTCTTTATATTGTCATCGAAGATCAAGTTCTCCCACTGCTGGTCGAAGTCAAAGCACGGCAAGTCCCAAATTTTGTATGCTGATGAATCGTCTTCAGGAGATAACTGTTGTGATTCTGGACCAAATCTTTTCAAGTGGTAAAAATGTATATCTGAATCGACAAATAAATCTTCGTTCAGACATATTTCTGAATCTGAAGAATTGACATAAGTAAGAGACAGACACCAATCAAGATCCATCCGGCCACAAATAATTTTCTACAAAGCGATGTCGCTCGCACTTTATTTCCCCACAGTATCTGTCGCAAATATGCTCAACAAGATGCATAAATAAAGTTAGCATAATGAATACTGCGTGTGTTCAACAACACACTTTAGTCCTTACAGCTTAGCAAAACGCATCAATGAAAGTGATTTCTGCTTTTCTTCGAGTAAAGTAAGTTTATCCACCCCACACACTTTTTACAAGGGTATTTAAATATGTCGTGTTGCTGTGTGTCTATGCTAGTTTCATATAAGAATATGAATGTCATATATTACCCATTTATGCGTTGTTTCAATGAGGAGACAAAACTAAAAAACACAATAAAAACCATAATAAAAAAGAATCGCGACACAAATTTAAGTTTAAAACCTAAGTTCAAACGAAATTTACCTTCAATTTCTGCGGTGGATATGACGACTATTTCTTCAAGAAAGCTAGTAAACTTCTCAAGGTTTCCAGTTAGTGATAACGGCCTCCAGTTCCTAACTTTTCCAATGTTTAGAAGCGTTTCATACAATTCTTTTCTTCTCTTTTCTACATCCGACTTACAGCTGAAATAGAGGCTGAACAAATAATATTATTTCAATTAAGCAACAAGAAAGCACTAAACTACCAGTTCTAAAAGAAACGTCAAATATGATTCCAAAAAGTTCGTGAAAACTCAGATTTAATAAAGCTCATTCCAAACTACTTACAAATCAAAATGAGTGCACATTCTACAACAAGTTTATGATTTAATTTAGCAAATAAATTATCAGGATTTCTGTAGTTAAGACCAATTTTTTGAATGCATCAAAAAGTATCCGCATAATAATCGTAAGGTTCTGATCCCATTAGAACTCCAAATTTCAAGCACAGAAAAGTAGGCTTCTATTACGGAATAACGTATGCCAAAATTAACAAGTTCAAAAAAGGAGTTTATTTGCTTCAACGTTCTCCACACTTTTTTAGCAACCTTTTGATAGGTGTCCAGAAGGCAACCAAAAAAACCCCTCAATAAGAATAAAAGTTGGAAGATGAAAAAAAAAAAGAGAAAAAGGAACTCAAGGAACCACTAACACTTCGCTCCTTAACCGAACTTCGACATAAACCTTACTCGGAGACAATCGTGCAACACTTTTGTGTGATCCACAATTTTCCTTTCCAGTCAAAAGTTTTTCAACACAGTTTTCTTTCCGAATGTTCAGATCACCCGGAATTTCCATCCTACAACAGAATCGTTTTAAGTCTCCAAGTATGTTGTACGTTGATGAGAAAAGCGATTAAGAGGAAATTTTTTAACGACAGTGTTACATTGAGGGGCGAAAGCGAACCCCAAAGTACACGTGAAGTGTGCTTTTAAATCCAAATAAAGGTATCCACCAAAAACGGGAGAAAAAATGTTGCTATTACAAAGCTAATAAAACCACGGAAAGATCACGACGAACATTAAATTAAAAAAAAAAAAGAAAAAAAAAATTTGGAGAATTTAAAAAAATAAAATAACAGAGCAAAAAATTTGAACATTCAAATTTAACAATTATTGCGCCAAAATTGTTGATTACATTACTTCACCGTCGTTTCTTCAATGACTGACAACGACTCTGCCTTCAGTTTGAGACGTTCCAGTAATCCTGGAGTCTTCGCTATGAGACCTGTTGGCATATATCAGTGATGCTAAAGTTAGCAGTAGACAATTATGTGAAAGGTAATAGCCGATCGGCTCTAAACGTCTTTAGAAATCATTGCATTCCAAATTGCCCTAATGAGAAGAGCCTAAGATTGTAGTATTTATTTGATGACGGCTCATCATCCATTAACATTATTAATGGCTCAATTAATTTATATAATGACTGAGTTTGTGGATCAGCGTAAAAGTTATGACGAAAGCCATTTACTGGAATTTATATCCGTATTCTATCGCTAATACTATCATTAAAATTAATAATACCACAAACTTTGGACTCTAACTGCCATATTCAGTTTTCCAAGTAGCTGTATACTTATGTAGCTATTATATCAGCGACTTTTGGATGTATTTAGTGTAAAAGATCAAGTCCTTAAAGTTGGAATGCACTTTTTACTTGATAGATATATGGCAAACGAATGTATTCTTCTCAGCGGGAGACATTAGTATGCTTCTAAGTTTCAGAATTTTTGGCTCAAAACACAAGTAAAATGCCAAATAACACTGCTTTTCTGACACTGGTAAAACCCTAACCTTTAACTCACCTTTATGCCATTCCAGTTTCCCCTTTAGTGGCTACCTAACCATTCACACAGAAGCAGACTGCCAAAACACTTAGCAACCAGTTCTTCCGACAGCTTCTTTACTGTAATGCTTTGGTGCTAACACTCTTGAATTCAATTCTTTGCCTTCTCTATAAACTTCAAGCTTTTGCTCCAAATGACTTTCTGAC